AATGGGCAAATAGTTTTTTCAAATACCTTTTATTACACGTCAAAAAACCACACCGGATATCTAAGAATAAATCCAATGAAAGATGTGTAAGACCTTAACATGGAACACTATAAAACATTATTGAGAGAAATTAAAGACCCAAATAATACATAAGACATACCGGGGATAAGAAGATTCAACATAGTAAAGATGTCCATTCTCCTCAAAGGATTCTCAATCAAAATTCTAGCATGCTTTTTTTTTTTTTTGGAGGGGAGAGGGGTAATTTCAAGTTGATTATAAAAGTTATATGGGAATGCAGAGGAAAGAATAGTCAAGGTAGTCTTAAAAAGAAGAACAAAGTAGGAGAACTTATTCTACCATGTATCAAGATGTTATTATTATACAGCTACAATTAATCTGTATTATAGCTGTATTATATAGCTATAGTTATAGCTGTATTATATAGCTATACATATGAGTTGGACTAATTATATATCTATAATTAAGACAGCAGGGTTCTGGCACAAGGACAGACAAATATATCCATGAAACTGAAAGAAGAGTCCAGAAATAGACCCTCATATACAGATACCTGGTTTATGACAAAGATGGCATTGTAGAGCAGTACAATTAGAATGGATAAATAAGTAAATGTGGCCTAGACATATCATGATATACTATATAGCAATAAAAATTGAACTACTGCTGTATTACCAACAACATAGATGAATTTCAACATATAATGATGAAGGGGTTGGGGGGCCAGATCCCAAAGAATAATATACTACATGTCTTCATTAAAAAAAATTTGAAGCTCATAAATAGGCAAAACAAATCTATGAGGTTAGAAATCAGAATACTGTTTACTGTGGGGAGGATGGAGATGGTAGTGATTGAGAGAGGGGCTGAGAGAGCTTCCAGGAGGCTACTAATTCTCTGTGTTGATATGAGTAGTAATTATGAGGATGTGCTCATTTTGTGATCACTTACTGAGACATGATTGGTGTACTCTCCTATATGTATGTTATACTACAATTACAAAATTCAATAAACAAATTAAATCAGTGGCTTACTATTAAAAATGTACTGTGAAAACATATACACATTGTTTAGGTACAAAGATGTTTGTTTCAACACTGTTTGCAATAGCCAAAAAACCTGGGAACTAGTAATGTCAATCAAGAGTGGAAAAGTTTGATAACCACTGGACTTGAGACTAACTATTGAAGCAAAAGAAACTAAATATAGTTACTGGAAAGAATGCCACTGGGTGGCCCCTCAGAGTACAAAGAAATCTAAATGGAGTGCTAGAGTTACAAATGTGAGCCACCACATCCAGCCTACATTCTCAATTTTAATGTAGGCCAAATTACCCACCTTTAAATGAATGACTAGTGCTTTTTATGACTTAAGAAATCCTCTCCTCTTAAGGTCATGAAGATATTCTTCACTATTCATTATTTTGCCTTTCACATTTAGGTCTACAATCTACCTGGTAATGATTTTTATGTATGCTGTGAAGCAGGGGTGTCCTTTAGTTTTAGTCTCAAATTCCTTTTCTTGACTCCTTCAGACTTATTAGCAAGCCACCCTTTGGATTTGCCATTCTGTCAAGACTGCCTCTAGGATTTTTCTCTGACTCCAATTTCCCCATCCCTGAACGAGTCTGTTCATGAATCTATCCAGGTTTCTGGAACATCATACCCAGCCTGGGCCCAGAGCCCTGCGCTCCTGTCTCGAACAGTTGATCAGAGTCTTTTGGATAGACCAGGAGTTCCTTGAGAAGACCTTTTATCCCCGCTCTGTCTCCTGAGGACTTATTCTAATTTCTCACCCATAACAGACACCCAGTGAACATTAGGTATCAGAAGGCTGGAGCAGATTCACCAAGGCATACTCCTTATGTGTGGAAGACTGCGTGGCGTGTGCATGACCTCAAGTACTTGGATTTTAGCTATCACTAAAGTATTTTCCTAGTGTTGAAAGACACTGAGCTCTCTGAAATTAAGACTGTGTTAAATTACTAAAATCAACAAGTACTAGAGGCCAATCTTTCTTCCACCAGCACATATCATCATCTCTTTTTTTCCCCCTCTATTACTCTCTTTTGTTTTCTTATTTCTTTTTAATTCCATTATCTCTTTTAAAAGACTACTTCAATGCAAGGGCTGATCTATTATATATTATACATCAAGAGGAGGAAGCAGATAAAGTACCTGGGATTGTTCTTTAAGAAAGTCAGGTAGTTGAAATTCTCCTTTATAGACCTAGAAAAACAAAGCAGGTATGAGTTTAAGGAAAGAGGTACTGCCACCATCATTTGAGGACATTTGCAATGCCTGATGGAGGATGGGTTTACTGCTCCATTTGCACTGAGTACAGAATGAGGGAGAGGCCCGTTAGTTGAAGAGCAGCCAGAGGCAGGACTGAGTGAGATCCCCAGTCAGATTGACTCCCTCCTCCCCAAAGTCCACATTTGCCTGAGCGCTCACAAACATGGGCTGGCTCGGAGAGGGCTCAGGATATTTGAAGAGGAAAAAAAAGCATCTTAATATTCCCAATTCCAATTATATTAGCTGAGAGAGAAAACAAGCCCGAGGCAATTCCTCTCAAGCAATGAACACAGAATTCAGCTTATGAGCAAGCTCCTCCTGGTTGCCGTTTGAATTCTCCAAGGTTATAACCCTGGATTTAATCCATCTTTACTTTTCTTAATTTAC